GACAACTATTGGATGTGTCTGCCTTATGAGTATGTTTGAAGCGGCAATATCATGAAAACAATATTGAGTGATGTGAAAACATCAAAAGGCAGTATTACCACAAAAATAAAAACCTTTAAGAAAAATGGGATTCACAGCAATGTGCCTACAGGGAGACAGACTGGAGGATTAAAGAGACCTGTTTTTTCTGGTTTGTATATGGAATAAAAGCAGAGGTGATTTTTTTCCTATCAACAAAACACACCAACAACAAACCTTTTGAAGCCACAATATTTTACAGAAATTATGCACTGAGGCATTTTGCGCTCAATGCTCTTTTGGCATTCAGTATTTGTTTGAATAACACAAAGGAGGGAAAGTCACATGATGTGTTACTTTGTGTGACCAAAATGATTAACCAATATCAACAGCAACAGAAGTCAAATACTGCACTCACTCAGTACTCAAACCCTGTACACAAACAAAGCCATCACACAAAATATAAAGTGCATGGATAAGCCCAACCTGGGTGTAAGGGTTCTGAATGAAATTCATTATACAACTTTTATATTCTCTCCCATAAATACATGTGATTGGTTTCTGCAACCCCAGAGCTAGATCTCTGATTAGCGAGGGGAGCTTTATAAGTATCACACTGGTGCCTCGGCTTCATGAAAAGCCCTGCTGTGTTGAGGCAGGCAGTGTGAGCTAGAGGAAGACAGACAGAAATCACTCTCAGTAACAATGGCTTACCTTTCTCTTCTTCTATCCACGTAGCTCTAGCTCCTATTTTTCTTAGATCCCGGGGATTCCTTTGTACCATAATAAATACAAATTGAGCACTTTCGCACACAAAATGTGTTTCTCCTTTGGGAAATGTGACACACTAGACTGGAAAACATTGGCCATCTGTAGGCTTCTCAAGCACTCCATGTATCCAGTTAATCAGAATGTGACAGACAGAGCCTGTACTAGGGCTGCTCAATTAATCGTATTTTAATCGCAATTAAGATTTTGGCTTGCAAAGATTATGAAAACAACATAATCGAAATAAAACGATTATTTTTTGTATTGGTTTTTCAGTTGAATTATACTTAAAGTTCAGGGTAATCAACTGTTAAAAACATACTGTTCATTTTTTTTTTCAATAAATTGATGTTTTCAAAGTAAATGGATAATCGTTTTTAATAATCGTGATATCAATTATTGACCCAAATAATCGAGATTATGATTTTTGCCATAATCGAGCCGCCCTAGCCTGTACAACAATGATGCCAACATACTTGATATTGATATCCATGAGGGATGCATCTTTTAGTACCTCACTGTGTGTGAGGATGTGCCCTGTTGAGTTTTTGTTCATGAGATATGAAAAAACAACGAGGTAAAAAACAGGCGAATGCTTTAAGAGCTGTCCGGTGCTGACACCACATTCTTTTCATGAGGATTAACTCATAGGGCATAATGTTGAAACAAACAGATTTCTAGTGTTTGCTTCCACATCATGGTGATTTAAGAGGTGGATAAATGAGACGCAATCCAATTCAGATGTACTGACAAGCCACCTGATTTGAACAAAGGAAGGAAGCATCGCACCCAACCAACCAACCAGAGAGACAATGGAAAGGCCAGGACAGGAAAGGTATAACTGAAAGAAAATCCACCCTTAACACCTTCTCATCCAATCACTGGAAAATACTCAACTATGCCCCTGTCATTAATTCAGCAGACAAAAACTATAACCAGATGTAGTTATTTATTTATAGTCTTTAATAGGGGGAAATGCTTCCTTTGAATAATACATTTTGTGGGAGAGGGGTGTCGATCTTTGGGCAAGACAGGGGGGGTCATTGATGAATATTCAAGAGGTGCGTCTGGAGGGACTGTGGTAAACTACCTTTTTCTCTGCCTCTGTGCCTCCTGGGCTTTGTCTGCTCTGCCACTGGACCAGCTGTGCTGCTCATTTGCTTGGCTCTGGTAGCGGTGGCTAGTTCAATATGGCAAATGCCAGACTATTATATTATTAGCCAAGGCAAAGCTAACCGCGGCTCATTTAGGATCGGCTCCATCTGCTCGCCAGTGTCAGGACACAGAGCTGTCGATCAAGCAGATTGATGTCCTTTGGTGAGCAAAGGTGCCACCTTAATTAAACCGAGGAAACGACCCTGAGAATGGAGATGCCAAGTGAAACGCTGCCTAAAAGATTAAATATGGGCTGACAGGATCCCTGCACCTACCAAAAGTTGAAAGCACAGACTTTCTCGATCATTAATACAGACAGAATTGAAAGTGTGTGTAGGATGCTGTGAGTGTTTTCACTGCTTAATTGGATCAGGGTTATCTGCTTCTGTAAATGTGTCTCTCTGCAGGAATCTTCAGAATCCCTCCCACTCCTTCCATCACTACAGCCAAACTAACTTCATCCATTTGTAACATATAAAGTGAGAAGACGGCACTGAACTCCCAGTTAAATCGTAAAAATAGAAATGTTTCTTTTCTACTTTAGAATTAGGAGGATTAAAGCCATTAGCCAAAAAGCAGCCACGACTCATAGCACAAGCTTCCAACAATGGGATTTGTAGCTGGAGGCCCTCACCAGTCAAACAGCATAACTGGAGCCCAGAGATCCTCTGTACTGATACGGTGCAGATGCTTGGCTGCTCTCCCTTGTTTCATCTCAAGCCAGGGTGGCTTTGTCTGTTTTAGGCATAGCAGAAGTTTCATTGTAGGAATATTAATGTCTTACATTTGTGAAATGTCCTATTCCTCATTCACGTGCTGGACACTACTCAAGTGCAAAATTGAATTCTGGTCCATTCACGTCTTCCGCTACAAGTTTCTGCACTAAGCTGAGCGCAGCCAAGCACAAAAGGCACATTATTGAAATATGTGACAACGCAACCGTGTGCAAAGAGCAGATCATTCTGTAAAATTCTCCCAGTATGTTACCTCCTTCTCTTTCTTTAATTGTTTCTCCTGAGATGTGATGACTGATGGTTTCTAATCTGCTGCTGGCCCTGACCAGTTGGAGTAGAGCCCCTGAGAAGCAATGAACTTCTCTCTAAAAGGCATATTGTTCATCCATTGTAATGCCTCATCATCACACAGATGATGTGAAAATGGGGGTAGTGAAGTGGCAATACCACAGAAAGATATACCTCTTCTGAGTACAATGGTGTTAACAGTAGAGACTGCGATTCGGTGCAAGAGTGATAACGTTGAGCAGAGCGAGGCGAGAGAAAGAAACAGATGAGAGACAGAAAGACAAACATAGAGACCTTGTACAATATGCATGAGAGTGCAAGAGGCAGAAAGAAGCGACAGCCAGCAGAACAACTTAAAAGAGCAGTCAAATCTGAAACCACATCCAATTAACATGAGCTTTACACACACACACACACACACACACACACACACACACACACACACACACACACACACACACACACACACACACACACACACACACCACACACACACACACACACACACACACACACACACACACACACACACACACACACACACACACACACACACACACACACACACACACACACACACACACACACACACACACACACACACACACCACACACACACACACACACACACACACACACACACACACACACACACACACACACACACACACACACACACACACACACACACACACACACACACACACACACACACACACACACACACACACACACACACACACACACACACACACACACACACACACACACACACACACACACACACACACACACACACACACACACACAGGTCAAATGGAGGATCACATGTGTGTGGGGCGATGGGAGGGATAAACTATCAGAGAACAGGAGTGTGGGATCAATTCCACCAAAGACAGCTTGTAGATATTAGAAATGTATTTGCAAATACCAGACAAATACATCGAAGAAAAGGCTATCAGAGCACAAAAGAGGGAGCGGGAGAGACTAACCATTGCACAAACTGCTTGGTTGAATCTCTGCTTAATTTCCCAGGGGGTCATGAGCAACTCCGCTCCTACCCTACGCTACCATCCTCTATTTGACAACATGCCATCGCTCGGAAATGTGAAGACAAGCAGACGAAAGGCAAAGTCTGAAGTTGTGTTCTTTTCTCCTCTCCCCAAAATCAATCATTGCAATGGCCTGACCTCCTCCACATGAATCAAGTAGCCTAGAGATGCTAGTTCCCTTAAACAAAAACAATGGAGAGACCCATTTAAGTGTTAGTGCCATCTAAGATAAAGCTTGGGTTGCCCTCTCTGGTTCACTGACAGCCCTGCGCTGCGACTCTCAGCCAAGCCAACAGCTCCCTCTGTCCCTATCTGCCTCACCTGAAGGCTTACAGCAGGAAGACAGGGGTTTGTTACAACAGGGGGCGTGATGGTCCTACAAGTCTGGACCCTACAGTGACCTTGTTAGACTAAAACGTTTTTGTTAATTTAGATGCTCATCATAACTGGCTTCCCAACAAAGAAGAAAAGAGGGAATCGTGTTTCGACCTGCTATATGTTAAAGGTTGCAGCATAACTGGACAGTCATTGCATGCAAAGGGGGAGAACATTTACAAAATGTTATGTTTCTAATGGAAAAGCCTTATTTACATAACAAAATGATATATTTGGGGAAAAAAGTGTCTTCCATCAAATCTAATATCTTAAATTGAATGTCCAACATGGCAAAACGGTAAATCTCTCTGAAAACGAGCCTCATACGACATATTACATTACATTACATTACATATAAAGTGATTACAGGAATAAATGACCCATACTCTTAAACTACACACTCAAGTCTCTGAAGTGCACTTGTAATTCTGATAATAACCATGGGCTATATCTTTGTCTTAGTATTCACAAGCTCATTTCCAATTCATCAACATAAGCTGTTAACACCATATTCCTTTGGTGTATGGGAGTTCCTCAACGCTCAATTGATTAAATATGCTAATTATGTCGTCAAAATGCCGAAAAGCAGCTTTTCAAAACTCGCCTTCACCTTTTTAGACGAGGTCCGGTCCACAGGAATGTAGAGCGATGCAGCAGCCTGACAGGAGCGTCGGTCTGATACGGTACGGTGCAGGTGCTATAGCGCCACAGATACGGAGAGCTGAACCATCCAGCGACGCGTAAAAAGCACTTGAAGTGCGGCAGAAAACGAAGCAGATTCGCAAAACTGATCGGGTGTCACAGGGTCTCTTGTGCATGCAGGGTATGAATGTCTCGAACAGTGAACGCGTTTCTTTCGGAGAGGAGCCGCGATGAGTGCAGAGCGCGAAGTGGTGCTCACCTCTCCAGCAGCTGAGCGCTACTGAACAAAAGAGTCCTTCGCAGGCTCTCTATTCAAATAGCAGGAGAGGGACGGGGGGGGACGGGGGGGGGGGAGGAGGACCGGAGAGAGGAGGAGGAAGAGGAGGGTGCTTTTTAGGTTGACGTAAAGACCCGAAGTTCCTGCATCCATCGAATCGCAAAACTTAATTCAAAAGCGCCTCTTATAACTACATTTACGCAGTCTGTGTGAGGAGGACCCGCTGATGTGTCATTGTTTGTTCAGTGTGATAAATGATCTGATGCGGGACACAACACCCACAGAGCCCGGATCACCTGCTGTAATTTATGAGACACGAAAGGAGGGAGAGGGTTTGTTTGGACAGACATGATTTGGCATTTCAGCCACTGCAGGCACGATAATCCCGTTCTGCCTCTGTCTAAGCGCTGTAATTAACAACCTAGAATTACCTTGTTTGGCAGTGTGGCAACGACCTGAGATTGACTTGTCATGTGCTAACATCGGCTTTCAAATTAGATTTACCTAATACTGAAATAGCCACGCTTGTAGTTTGCAGGCTTGGGCAGCAAACATACACTTTTTTAACCTGAGAATTTGACTGACATGACTTGATTTGACCTTGTATGAATAGCCCAGAATGTGCATGGCAGAAAGATGATTATGGTCCTTAAAAAGTGCACTTGCTGGTGCCTAGAGTCTTTTAAAAAAGCTTGCAAAAGTGGTGTTGGTATTTGTTCATAGGCAGTGTGAGCGACCCACCGCTTTGTTGCATATAAAGAATAATGATCCCCCAGACTCCCCTTGCAGGCAGATTAACGCTTTGTTCAGCAGAGTTGTATAATTTAAGCAGAGCATGGGCTGCTTTCATTCTTTTTTTGTTGGTTTAACATTTTTCTTTATGCTATAAATGTATTTTTACAAGCATTGTTCTTTTTATAGCTTGAGATGAGATGTTGTAATGAAATTAGTGGAGTGTAAAAAAAGAGTGCATCGGTGCAGCCTCTAAAGACTCGAAGAGCTGTCTGTGGTGCTGAACCCGCTTAGTGTAGCAATATAAGCAGGGGTGCACATAACTTTTTTTGCCCTGGTTCTCAAAGGACCACCTGGAGATGTTGCTTGGTGCTCATCCTTAAAATGAAATAAACCGTACCTTTTGAGGGGGTCTTTATTTGCCAGACACACGGCACTGCACACACAGAGGTGAACACACATGCAGAGGTGAACACAGAACACACATGCAGAGGCGAACACAAGACAACATTAGCACGACCAGTAATCCTACAAGCTGTCATCACTACCCTCCTGACTGTTCTCCTCACTGTCTTCCTCTCTGTCAGACATGGTAGCTGATGATGTAGGCCTACTACTTCCTCTCTGGTTGAGTCTGCGATTAGCTGCTTGCATCCACAAGTCAACAGCTGGGTTTGGGTCGAAAGTCTCTGTTGTCATCTTAGAAAAGTGGATGTAATCAAATAAGTATGTGAACATAACCAATAACCTACCATAGCCAATAACAAATTAATGTAACTTATTTTATTTGTGTTGTTCATTCATATCTTATTTTACCTTAACATTTATTTATTTATGCATATTTTTTTATCTCCAGTTTTAAATGATATTTTTGGTTACTGTCATATTGAAATGATTTCAAACCTGTTTATCCCAATAATTATAAAGGAGTGCCTTGGAAATATGTGTTTACATAAATTGTGACCAAACCGTTTGAGACCCACTGAGGTAACTTAGACTAAAGTGAACTATCTAAACACTCAGTCCTTACCTCACTGAGCTGTAGTTATCAGCCTCTCAGTCTGACTGGAGAGGACTCTCCCTCCACATTATTGTAGAAACATCTTCTTCTTATATCCGTTAGAGCAGCTAGCACCAGATTCTAATAACAACAGCGCCGGTACCGGTGCACCCTCCCTCTCTCACTCGCATTTTGGGCAGGTGGGGCACAGCCCAACCTAGTGTCAGCAGAAAGTATTACAAATAATGATTACAAAAAAATGCAAAAAATAAATAACAAAATATACTTTAAGATCATGGTTAATCATCTGATTCGTCTGTACATTGCTGTTTTAGTCTGTTCTTCTAATTAGTGTCTACAGTGTGTGCCTATTGAGCGGTTTAGAGCCATGTGGGACAAAACCCGATCCTGCCCCTCCCTCTCACTGTCTAAGTGAACAGTGACTATAAAAACTACACTGCGCATGCTCAGAGTATTGTCCTATTTAATGTGTGTGGCAAAAAAATAATGATCATAGGGGCATAGAGCTGCCATCCCCAGCATACGTCATCTCACATAATTCAGAGCTGATTGGCTGTAAGTAAGTGTGCCGCGAAAAGTGTGGTGTGTGAAGAGGAGAGGAGAGAGCTGCAGTGACGCATCCTAAAACCAGGAAGTAAGCTGCGCATGGCTTCCCTCCACAAAAAAGCAATGATATTTCTCCATGGGATTTTAGAAAATAGCTCAAAATAAGATCTGTGGGAAACGTACCTGTTAGATAAATGCACGTTTTGTTCAGCCGGATAATATCCACATGTCTACCCTACTTTTATCATTTTCTAATCATAAATCTATCGATTAGATTTATGATAGACTTTTAAAACTACAAGAAGATAAGGAAGACTTTTACAAAAAAGTAATAGAGATTTTTGTCCAGAAGGATAGGCAAATGGACTTCATCTTCAAGTCAAGGTAAGACCGCAATTTTATTGAAAATGGGATCTTACTAAGAGAGAACAATTCAATATGTAAATGATCAAATTAAATGTTTTGGGTATCCTTCTGTTGAACTGTCTGTTTAAAATTAATTGAAGCATCAGACTAAGGAGGCTTTTGAAAATGATATTATATTTTGATTTAGGTCAAAATATAATATTTGTAAACCTGAAGAGTCAGTGCCAGTGCCAGTGCCTCACCAGCCATGAACCTCAATGCAGAAGCTTATATATATATATAGACATCTACGTTTTTTGTGCCCCACCACTTTTTGTACATATAGAAACGCCACTGCGAACACAGGAGGGGGCTTGGCTGTCTACAAATAAAGACGGCTCATTTGAATTCTCCCCAAATATATTGAGGCTGAACCTGAACTTTGAATGCTCTGCTCCCATCATAATCTTGGCGATCTTGTTAAAATTGTGAATGCAGAATTAAAAATACTATGTAACTGTTTTGCAGTTAATAAATTATCCCTTAATGTGGCCAAAACAAATTACATGTTATTCAATACAAAGTCTGAGAGTAGAAATGACTGCATTATACGGATTTGCAATACAGAGATAGAAAAAGTTGGTGCATGTACATTTTTAGGACTGCTTGACGAAAAACTCAATTGGAAGCACCATATACACATTATGTACAGACTAAACTGTCAAAAACAATAAGTATTTTGTATCATACTAAGAACATTCATGAAGAAAAGATACTCTTTATAACAGTCTATTTCTCCCTTACCTTTACTACTGCTTCGAAATATGGGGAAACACGTACTCAACAAATCTACAAAAAATAATAACATCCCAAAAAATAGTCTGTGGTGTTGGTAAATATGAACACACAACTCCCATATTTAAAAAAACTCAATCTATTAAAATGTGTTGAGATAGTACAGCTTAAAACAGTACTGATTATTTTCCATTAGAAAATGACTAATAACATTCAAAAGCAGTTCCAAACCACAGCGTGAACATATGAATGTAAAAAAAGTCACTTGAAAATAAGTGTTCACAAAGTTTATATGTGTAACATTCCTATGTACTAGGTTGCTTTCAATGAGGAGTAGATTATATAAATAGAAAAAACAATATCAAATTAATATAGCCTGCATTTTATTAAACATTCATACAACACTTTCACAAACCCCTCATCTACCCCAGTGAAACCCAATCTGCTATCATGGAAAAAACAACAATAATCGAACCAGGGTAGTCTGTAGTTTCTCTCTCTCTGGTAATCCAATGACCATCAGTCCTTTTTCTGGTGAGTAGAATCCTTTAGAATCATTTTTCTGGTGAGGAAAAGACAAAAACTGCAGCTCCAAAAACTTCAGTCAGTTCTGCTAGTTCCTGGTTCCCCGCAGCATCAAAAAAGCACATCATCAAACAATTTGAACACACACAGGGCCCACACTCAGCTGCCACTCATTGAGCCTCATTAACAACCACACCTGACCTGTTCTTCCTCTCCTCCCTCATATGCAGACTCTGCTGCCCCAGCACTGCCCCGAGTGGGAGCTGCTGTTTATTACAGGGTCTAAAACTCACTGCATTATTTGAGTGGGTTACATATGCAATTATTATTATTATTCATTTGCCAAGTACATGTGTACCTATGTATATATTTATATATAGAATTTTAATTTCCAAAAAAAGATAGTTGAAACTGCTATTGACATGTGCAGAAAATGACCCTATATCTAGTTTTCGTATATATATGCATTTATTGTTTTCCTGCCCTAACCTTTATTTAATTTGTTCTCCCGTTTTCTTTATTTCTTTGTACTCCTTCATTTCTATACATTTTTGACGCAATAATGCTGCTGTATTATATGATGCACGGGAGGGCTACTTTCCACAAGCTATGCTTCAGCCCTCCCGCTTCTACTAATTTTGTTCATCTTTGTGTGTATGAATTCAACTATTTTTGTTTTTCGGATGAATACAAAAAAAAAAAAATACTTTCAGCTTGGGGGCCCCCTAGTGGCCACGGGGGCCCTATGCCCCCGCATTGTCCGCCTATAGGAAGAAACGGCCCTGTGTGTACGCCCAGGGTATACCTCGAATAGATCTGTCACGATCTGTCTGTATTGTGTTTTGTCTTGTTTTGATCTGTCTTTGGTTTCCTGTCTGGCCGTTTCTCAATCTCGAGGATACTGGCTTCCAAGCCAATATTTCAAGGATGCTACGTCATCGAGTGCCGCCGAAGAACTGTTCCAATCTCCAGCATACTTGGAATTCCACCGAGGCTGCGTCCTTGGTTTGGGTGAAATGTTGAGGCTGCACATGGGTAGACTTTGCGTCCTTA